TTGCCCCCGCACCTCGCTCAGCCAGTGAGCGGGAACCGGTCTGTATGTGGGATCCGAACCCTCGGCGGGAGCGCCTCCGCACTTCCCAAGCGGCGCACTAGCGCAGTGCACCACCGGGCCGGCCCAGAAATGGGCACTTTTTTTTTTTTTTTGTCTTTTTCCGTGTCCGGCAGCGGGTCGCAACCCTCAGTGTTGCCCCCGCGCCTCGCTCAGCCAGTGAGCGGGAACCGGTCTGTATGTGGGATCCGAACCCTCGGCGGGAGCGCCTCTGCACTTCCCAAGCGGCGCACTAGCGCAGTGCACCACCGGGCCGGCCCAGAAATGGGCACTTTTAAAAATTATCATCTTTTTGTTTTATTCTCATGTGCCTACCTGAAGTTCTTTATAAGTATTATTGAAAATGGGGGCCGAGCCTGTGGCGCACTCGGGAGAGTGCGGCACTGGGAGTGCAGTAGCGCTCCTGCCGCGGGTTCAGATCCTATATAGGGATGACCGGTGCACTCACAGTGCTCACTGGCTGAGCGCGGTGCGGCCGGGCTCAAAAAGGACAAAAAAAAATAACATACTCTTAAATATTGTATAGTACCAAAATTTATTGAAGAGATTATTAAATATATGTCATAGCCATTTCAGCTATTTTCCAACAGTTAGCATGTTTTCTAGGACCTAATATAGTCTCTCTTTTTCTGTAACTACTTTTTTTTTTTAAATACCTGGGAAAGTTTATAAATCAGTAGAGGTATGGATAGATGATAGCAGATATAAAAAATATCAATTCATACGATCTAGATGATGATGAGCATATGGGTATCACTGTACAATTCGTTCAACCTTTCTGTCTTTTGAAAATTTTCACAATGAAATAATAGAGAATAAGATATCCAGTGTTATTAAGTACACATGAATCTCAAGAGTAATCACGATTAATGACTTCAGGGTCCACATACTGTGTTAACAACCAGGTTTGTTCTTCTTGCAGGTTAAGTTCAGTGAACTCACTGTTGACATGTTCCGAATGTTACAAGCCCTGGAGAGGGAGCCAATGAATTTAGCGTCCCAGATGAATAAGCCAGGAATGCAGGTAATCTTTTCCCTACATTTGCAAATTTGGTAACACTCTCAGGCTGCTTCTGTTCCTCACGGAATGCAGCCCATTTATTCAGTAAATGCTACGAACGTGAATAGAGAATTCTCTTGAGGAGACACAGAAATAGATAAGAATAATCAGATCAATAACACTGAGTAAAGAGAAGGGTATTTGACAAAGAGGATAGCAGAAATAGGCCTTGATGATTCATCTGTCAAATATAGCTTGTATGTATATTATTTTCTGTTTGTAAATACAGGAATCAGCTGACAAGCCCACCAGACGAGAAAACCCCCACAAATACCTGCTTTACAAACCAACCTTCAGCCAGCTATACACATTCTTAGCAGCATCTTTTAAGGTATGTGTGATCCAGTACTTTTTACTCTTTGGGGAAATTGTGGCCTAAATGGAATCTGAGAGTCATTCCTCTCTTCGAGTCAAGTTTAGATAAAATATGAAAATGAAAAACTGCCTTTAAAATAACGATCCTGGCCGGCCCGGTGGCGCACTGCTACAGTGTGCCGCTTGGGAGTGCGGCGCCGCTCCCGCCGAGGGTTCGGATCCCACATACAGACCGGTTCCCGCTCACTGGCTGAGCAAGGGGCGGGCGCAGCACCGAGGGTTGCGATCCCGTTGCCGGTCCCGGTCCGGTACGGGCGCGACACTGAGGGTTGCGGTCCGTTGCCGGACACGAAAAAAAAAAAAATAACGATCCTAATCATAGCTATTTATGATGTTGTGAATATCCGTTACCATTTATTAATGAGAATACTGATTGATTATCAGTCTCCTTCCTCCAGGTTTTTATTACCAAACCACTTCAGGTATAACAGTCAATGCAGAACTGAAAAACAAGAGCAGAGTGCATAGGCATGTTATATATTCAAGTAGCTCTGTGAAACATTTTGATCATCTGAAAAAACTTTGAGAAATAGGAGAATTCTTCCCAAAGTTTATATAGAGAAAGCCATGCAGGGGAACTTATCTTTTAGATCTATAGTTGGGATATTTACTTCCCCATTTCAAGTTTTCAGAGAACATTCTCTAAATGATGGGGTATTGAAGCAAAGAATGTCTTCACAACTTCTGGCAATAGTTACAGATTACGGATTAATAATGAGTCTTTGCTGTGTATATAGTTTTAAGTCAGAACCAGCAAGACTGACTCTTCTCTTAGAACCTAATTTAACATACTGTTGTTTTTTCTTGTTTTCCCCACAACTTTAAGATGTCATGAACTTTAAATAAAACTGTGCTTTTCTTCCCTTTTTGTTTTGTATATGTAATTTTCTTTAATTTCAGGAGCTGCCTGCCAATAGTGTGCTTCTGATTTACCTGTCAGCCACTGGTGTTTTCCCCACAGGTCGTTCTGATAGTGAAGGTACAATAAAGGAATGCTCCCTGTCGTGAGCAGGGCTTGAATTCTCTTTATTTTCTACAAGACGATGGCCCGTAGCCCACAGACCATCTCCAGCTTCCTAGACAGGCTTCCAAATTTGAAACCTGGTCTATCTGTTGAATTGACAATCCTGTAGATACTCCAGTCTATTTTATTTTATGAAATATTTATATGTTGAAGCCCAGAAATTATCAGAAAATTCATATATTAAATGCATCCTTCACTACTAAATTTGCCGAAAGCATAATACATAGATATATATATGTAGATCTATATAAGGAATTTGATGTTTCAGAGTTGAAAAGGATGATGGAATAACCAAACCTAATTATTTATTTCACAGCATTTGAATTTTTCTGAGCCTTTAGTGCATTAGGGAATCTGGTCAGCGGCTACATTATGGCTGAAAGTCTTTGTAGAAATCAGTGCGCTCTTGTAACTGTGAAAGTTCAAGTCCTTGTTTTGATTTTGTTTTCTGTCCTTTCTTTTTCTTTATTTTGCTTTATGGATTCAACCTGTGGAATATTGGGATGCCATTTCAGAATAAAAACTTAAGTTCAGTAATTGGTCAGAATAGATGAGTAACTTGGATGTAAAAAAAGCAATTAACTCTTTGGACAAAACAAAAATTTTCTTAATGTTCTTAACATTTTCCTCCTCATCTGTTTGTTGAAATTTGCATTCCTTTATACAGTGCATGTCCCTGCCATCTTCCTTGCATGACCTACAGATTCTGTTAAAATGTTAAAATGAAACAAAACAAAAATCTCTGTAGTCTTTTAATTGCATTGAGTTTTTTAAGGGATGAAATATAATACAACATTAAAAGTGATGCAAAATCTTAAACTACTTTACTTTTTTTGGTAAGAAAGTTAGTAATTTTATTTATAAATAAATATTTACATGTCTTATATATTGTTTCAAATTCCATTCAAATCTTTTCCTAAATTTTACAATTAGTGGCTCAGTTAAATTATATTTACTTAAGAGATTAAGATTTCATTCTGCAACTTTCTTTTTAAAACGATTTTGTTAAACCTTTTGTTAAAAAATTTTAATTTTGCTTGAAATGCAAAGGTCATTTTAAACATTCCAGATTTTCATCTCTTTTATTACCCAGAATAATGGGATGCAATACATTTTTGTTTTGTTTCTCATTATATTCTGTTTGAAGAACTGATGAATAATTAAATGTTTTTTTTACATGTTGAAAGAGGCAACGTGCTGAAATCATTTAAATACTGCATTAAATTAAAATGTAAAATTTAATAATAATTAAAATGTTTTGTAATTATCTTCCCTTGTATCAATGAGAGATTCACACAATACTGTTGTATTTGAACATCAGATCCATGTTACTTTCCAATTGAAGTCTAGGATTCTTCCCTTTGTTTTTATAGGTCCTTATGATTTTGGAGGTGTACTTACTAATAGTAACCGTGACATTATAAATGGAGATGCCATCCACAAACGAAATCAGTCCCACAAGGAAATGCACTGGTATGTATTCTGGTGTCTCCCTCTATTATAAAAATTGTAGTGCTCTCATTCATTCCTTCCTTCATTCATTCATTTATTGGTGGGTGGCCAGTACAGAGATCCAGACCCTTGACTTTGACGTTACAACACTGTGCTCTAACCAATCGAGTTAACCGGCCAGTCCTCTCTTTTATAAAATACTAAGTTAAATGGGGACCTTTTTTTTTTTTTTCCTTTTTGTCTTTTTTCGTGTCCGGCAATGGATCGCAACCCTCAGTGTCGCGCCCGGACCGGACCGGGACCGGCAACGGGATCGCAAACCTCGGTGCCTCACCTGCACCTCGCTCAGCCAGTGAGCGGGAACCGGTCTGTATGTGGGATCCGAACCCTCGGCGGGAGCGCCGCTGCGCTCCCAAGTGGCGCACTGCTACAGTGCGCCAACCGGGCCGGCCCCAAATGGGGACTTTTTTATAGTACCGGCAAGGTTCCCTTAAACTACTACTACTACTACTAATATTTATCTGGATTCCAGCAATATTTCCGGCTCTGACTATCCTAGGAAATTAGACTTTTTGGCTGATATTCGTTTCATTGTGTATCTGTTATAAGTCGGGTACTATTCAGTCACTGGGGATGTATCAGTGAACAAAATTGCATTCTAGTTGGAGGAGACAGTGACTATATTCATAAATAAATAATATGTCAGGACATGATACATGTTACCATCAATATGAAGTTTTTAATATAAGGTTTTATTGGTTTAATATAGCACAAATAAAAAGTTGTGTGAATTCAAATTGAATTTCATCTATGAAAGATTGCTCTTTCTCCAAGCACAACACCTTCACTGCTTGGGCCAATATTGACTCTAGAATTTCTGTAGCTGAGAGACAGCAATATGATTGTAAAGAAAACTGGACTTGTCTGAAGCTGCATTTCCAAAAGCATTTTACATAAAAATATCAACTGTTCATATTAAAGAATGGGGAGGGAGGGCAGGCAGGTGAATGTTTCAGATTATGTGTATAGTAGCCAGAGGTTCCCTAGGTCACGTGTTGGTTCTCTTGTTGACCGTAGTTGTAAATTATTTACATTAAAAAAAAAATTAACAGATATATAAAAAGGGACTTAACATCACTAATCGCCAGGGGAATGCAAATCCAAACCACAGTGAGACATCCCCTTTCACCTGTTAGGATGACTATTCTCAAAAAGACAAGAGATAACAAGCGTTGGCAAGGATGTGGAGAAAAGGGAACCTTTGTACACTGTTGGTGAGAATGTAAATAGGTACAGCTATTATGGAAAACAATATAGAAGTTCCTCAAAAAATTAAAAATTGAGCTACCATATGATCCAGCAATCCTGCTTCTGGGTATATATCCAAAGGAAAAGAAATCAGTCTGTCAAAGAGATATCTGCACTCCCATGTTCATTGCAGCACAATTTACAGTAGCCAAGATATGGAAACAACCTAAATGTCCATCAACAGACGAAGAGATAAAGAAAATGTGGTGTCTGTATCTGCACAATGGAATAATATTATTCAGCCATAAGAAAGAAAGGAAATCCTGCCATTTGCAACAACAGTGTGAATCTGGAAGACATTATGCTAAGTGAGATAAGCCAGACATAGAAAGACAAATACTGCCTGATCTCACTTATATGTGGCATCTTAAAAATCAAGTTCACAGAAGCAGAGATTAGAACGGTGGTTGCCAGGGAATGGTGGAAATGGGAAGATGTTGGTCAAAGGATACAAGCCTTCAGGTATAAGATGAATAGTTCTGGAAATCTAAAGTACGGCTCGGTGATGATAGTTAATAATACTGTTCTGTTTACTTGAAATTTGCTAACAGAGTAGGTAGATAGTGTTCTCACCCCCACCCCACACAGAGTAACTGTGTGTAGGGATCGGTGTGTTGATTAACTCAATCACGGCCGTCACTACACAGTGTATACACATATCCAGTCATTGCATCGTACACCTTGAATATATACAATTTTTGTCAATAAAAAAGAAAAAGTTGTATTTGAAATATATTGAGGTTTGATGATACTGCTCAGTGAAACGTCCTTTTATACATTCATGTTTATGTTGACATTAATATTTATACACATACACACATTGTCCACTAAGCTGTGTGAAAGTGCACGCACACTAAAACCCTGACCTTCTTAAGCACTGGCTCTAAATGCATGTTCCTGGACTTCAGTCTTTGGGTTCAGTAGATCTTCTGTGGGCCAGTGAGTCTACATGTTTAACAATCACCCCAAGTGATTCTGATACAAATGTCCAGAGGAAAAATAAAAGATTGTAAAAGGGGTTTCCCTATTTATTGTCTGCAAAATTAAGATGTAGCTTGAAACACTAAAAATCATTAAAACAGAGATAGATTTTTTTTATTTTTTGTCTTTTGTCTTTTTTTTCCATGTCCGGCAACGGATCGCAACCCTCAGTGTCGCGCCCGTACTGGACCAGGACCGGCAACGGGATCGCAACCCTCGGC